CCGTTGCAAACTTGTCAGGGGGTTACCAAAATGTTTCCAGATGTACAAAAAATTTTCAGCACATATAATAATTTTTCCGAAAATACACTTGTTTTCCAAATTCACTTTCTCATGTCCTGACAATTACCTGAATTCCCCTGAAAATCTTCTGCAAATCTACTTAAATTTACCTAAAAGTGCACTGGAAATCTACATGAAATTCCTCACGAGCAATTATCAGGGGTGTTGCACCCCCCGCCCAGTGAGTTTCAAGCAAACACTCTCTGATTTATTGTTCATGTATTTCACCTCCCAAAATATTGTGCATCATACTCTGGAGCATTTTGCTGTTGTCATGCTCTAGCGTGGTTCAAATGTATGAATTTTTATTATATAAAGTATGGTGTTTTATAACAATACACAAAGAAAAATCGTAAGCGTGTCGTGGTTTTATATGTGATAAAAAATCATGTTAATTTACACAAACTTTAGCTTTGATTTTCTCTTCGCTTTTATTATAAGATGAGTCGTTTTAAGCCATTTAAAGCACACATAGGAGTGTTTTATCACATGTAAAACACTCCGCTAAAAAGGCTTGAAAAGGCGAAAAACAAACTTGGCCAAAATCTCAACATTTAAATGGAAAAAACTCTTTAAAATGACAGCTAAATACATGAACTCGTACTTAAAACAAGCACACACTAAAGAGGTTGAGAAAATAGGGGTAAATAGCTACAAAGTATTGTTCAATTTCAACAATTCTGCTTGGAATATTAACAAATATTGATATTTTAAAAAATTGCCTGTACTTTCATGTTCAAAACTACGAGCAAAGTTGAGAAAACTTTAACATTTTACTGCATGTGTCAGCAGTTTCCAAGAGTCTTTGTTTGTGTGTAATCCAGAACCAAAATTAGGTCATTTTGATAAGCTTTTTTCCTTTAAATACAGCTTTTAATACTTAAAAACGGCCATTGACTCTTGCACCCTTTGCCGCTTGTTGCTACTAGTAGACTATCACTAATAGCCTACTAGCAGCATAGCCAATCAGAAAGCACGATACATGATAGCCTACTAGTAGGTTTATACTAAAACTAGATAGCTAATACAAAACTAATGACATAGACTTGGTATGAAAAATTGCTCCAAAATCGTTGCAAACTTGAGATACATAGAAAATCGATCTTCTGAAAAATGATAGTAGACTAAAATTCTTGTAAATATCCCTGGAAAAAATTTTGTCTTTGGCGTTATCACACCTTGAATACTGGTCATCTGAATATTGGTAAATTTCTGTGTTGTTGCATTACTAATTGGCCATTGTAATATTTAAATTTAAAAAATAAAATTTAGGAGAGCTTTCCCCGGACTCTCTTCAAGGAATATGTCAATACCATCCACATCAAAAACACACCGCCACCACCTGCAAAAAGATCAAGGCAAATGGTTGGTTATACACCAGTCCATTTTAAATTTCCTGACACCTGGACTCATGATGTCTGTATTCTTGGAAGATGCAACAAGTCTTTAACTCCAGATAGAGCTCGTAGTGAGATCTTGATGTATATGCTGATTTGGGGCAAATGAGACTTAGTCGTGTTTCCAGGCAGAAAGGCATTGCATCAAGATCTTCAAAAAGTTTGAGAGAGCAAGTTTCCAAAATTGAAAGTAGCAGGAGGATTTGAAGTTGTTAGGGCTCATGGGGGCGGTCAAAGAACATTGGTTCCATTACCACCAAGCAATGAAGGGTATACCGTTCCTTCCTTAAAACAGAGGTTGAATTCAGAATGCCTAATTTTAATAGCTATGAAATGGACAATTAAAATCAGTTGCATACACATGTATCTGACAGACAAAATGTAGACCTACTGTAATTAATGCAGTTTGTTAATAACTAATATTATAATGTAACTGGGATATAACAGACAATTTGATTGGCTAATGTGTGTGCATTGTGATGCAATAATGCACTGTGTTCTGTGGCAGTGCCTTGCTCTTTCTGTGTTTTTACCGCTTCATCTTTTTAGCCAAAGATATAAACAATGGGCCACAGCAATATTTTACAAATACTTTACATTTTGTTTCGATTTCATTTTAATTTACTTTTGTTTTAGTTTAAAATTTAAAATAAAAAAGGATAATATTAAAAAAATCTAATGACATTCATTCATTTTATAGTAAAATACAGAGTGATATAGATTTTAAAAACAACTAAATTTATGCATTTTAAAATAATAAAAGTTACTTAAACTGAAATAATTTATCAATAAATAATTATATTTGTAAGATATGCTTGATGGCACACATGGGCCACCATACAGTTGCCCCCCCCCCCCCCCCCCCCCCCCGCTGTGTACGGCCCTGAATGTTTGTCTAATGCGACCCATTGCCAATCCAGTACAATCTAATGCCTGTTTAATATGACTGTGATGACACAATAATGCTTCAACTCTGAAACAATTTTGTCCCTAATTCCTCTCCATACCCATGCATTATCTCTATCCTGGAAGGTCCATTTTGTGTTTCTTTCCTCAAAAACACTGATATCCATGCAGTGAAACAGTTTTTAGAATGACGTTTCCCTCAGAAGTAGTGTATGGTGGCTGAGAACTGCCATAACAATTTTTTTAAAAAAATTAAAAATGAATTAATTTGGAAAACAAATTACATTAAAAGTAAAACAATTAAAAAATAAATAAAATTTATTTCAAAATAAAATAAAGTGAAAAAAATTCTGATGGCCTAAAACTGCCATAGACCACAAGTCTTTGTGAGCTTTAAAACCTTCCCTTTAAAACATGCTTTACCAATTCCAAGATGGCCGAAAGGAAAAGAACGTGGGCATCTTTCAAAAATCAAATGAAGGCCAAAAAGCTTAAAAATACTGGAAAAAATCAACAAAACAGGAAAACACAATATTTTGGACAGAAAAGAGTTGGCGGTGCAACAGCTATCCGCCAAAGTGTCCGGGAAGGCTCAGAAGTATACTCATGTTGGTCCGTGTGAATTTGTCACCTACCAGGATGGAGAGTTGACAGTGGAAGGCATTAAAGAAGCTTGTGAAAGGCACTTTGCTCTTGAAGATATGCCATGCAATATTTTAGCCAACGACCAGGGTGTATCGTGTACATCAATGGAGCATATTCCAGACTTCATCAAAGATTCTTTGCAGGTAAAAGGAATTATGAAATCTTTTCAGCTATCACCTTGGTGAAGATCAGATTGAAAAGGGTTTGACCACACCCCTTCTTATGTTATTTGGGCGGCCTTGATGCTATTCTTTATTAACAAATCCTATTGTGCCTGCTGCAAACAGGCCCGCAGTAATTGGCTATTCGCTGTTGCGGTCACCCAGCCGTGGTCATGTACCTACTGCATATTTCATTATGTACGTTTGTTTTTGTCCTGTCATGTAATGTACTGTTTCGTCGGCAAAGTTTATAAATTAAAATTAAATTAAATTAAACCTCAGTTGTCTCCTTAGTGACAAATATGACTCCATTATAACATCAATACATTCAACAAAGAAACAAATTGATGATATAATTAAAAGGAATGAAAACTTGCTTGGAGATTTCTGGTCTCCCAATCTTGCCAGTAGACTGTCCAACAACACTTGTACAAGAAGTCAGGGAAATGAATAGGCGTAGACTTCAAAGGCAACAACATCTTTGTGGTCCATCGATTGCCTGATTCTAAGTGAAAAAGGTCCAAATTATAGTCAAGTTTACACATAGAGTGAAGCGGGATCAGTTCTATAAAGCCTGCAAACACACTGCTAGCAAGAAAGCACAAGAATGCCTGTCCATTAAAAGCGAGATGGGGAAGTCCAGATAGGTAGATAGGTGATTTATTTCTTAAAGCTAGCAGCCGAAATAGCTGAAATATGTTTAAGATTACAAGGGTATGATTTTAAAATATGTAAAAAATTTTAGTGTAAAAAATGAGTTAAAGTAGGCCTATTGAAATCATTTTAAACTCGTGTTTAGGTCTTATAAGGCGCATTAAAATTGTTTTGTTTATGATTTTACCTTTCCGTGTTTGTATACTGTAGGTAAGATATACCAATCGCTCTAGAGGTCTTACTATATAATTTCATATTTATCTGACACTGCAGAGTCCACGAAAAATTCGTTAACCCGAAGATGCTAGTTCGATTCCCGCTCGAGACAACTAATTTTTCGTTGACTGTAGTGTAAGATAAACGTCAAATTAGTTTTTCCTATCTCTGAGGATGGTCCGGAAATTGAGGGGTCCAATTGTTTTAGATCTTATAAATTTAAGACAACTTTAGCGCGATTTGTATATATGACTCGATTTCATCTGGTATATACATCTGTTTTTTCGCTTTGCTAGGAGAAACGACAGGCAATAATCGACTGCCTTACGCAGCAATGAAGAAAGGGCATTTTAACTTTGGAGTGCGTGGTCTGCCGGATGGGGTGCAATTTAAAGATCCGTCCGAAATAGGTGAAGCAAATCTTGATGCAATTATTAGTCACGCCGGCAGTGTGGAGTTTGTTGAAAAGTTAAATATGGGTGAAAGAAGGATGGATGGTGTGTCGCGTGTTGAAAATGTTTCTGGGGCGAGACAGACTGGAGATGTTAATACTGATGCGGGAGGAAGTCATGAAATTGATGCTGGTGCAGGACGAGGTGGGGAGATTGATGATGCTGGACGGAGTGGGGAGGCTGGTGGTGCTCGACGGAGTAGGGAGATTGATGGTGCTGGGCAGAGTGGGGAGATTGATGGTGTTGGACAGAGTGGGGAGGTTGATGGTGCTGGACGGAGTAGGGAGGTTGATGGTGCTGGACGGAGTAGGGAGATTGATGGTGTTGGACGGAGTAGGGAGATTGATGGTGTTGGACGGAGTGGGGAGATTGATGGTGTTGGACGGAGTGGGGAGATTGATGGTTCTGGGCAGAGTGGGGAGATTGATGGTGTTGGACGGAGTGGGCAGATTGATGGCGGTGGGCAGGGTGGGGAGATTGATGGTGCTGGACACAGTGGAGAGATTGATGGTGCTGGACAGAGTGGGGAGATTGATGGGGGAGGACGGAGTGGGGAGATTGATGGTGTTGGACGGAGTGGGGAGATTGATGGTTCTGGGCAGAGTGGGGAGATTGATGGTGTTGGACGGAGTGGGCAGATTGACGGAGTGGGCAGATTGATGGCGGTGGGCAGGGTGGGGAGATTGATGGTGCTGGACACAGTGGAGAGATTGATGGTGCTGGACAGAGTGGGGAGATTGATGGGGGAGGCAGTGATGAAATTAATGGACGAAGTGGAGAGCATGATGCTGGGGCTGGAGGAAGGAGATTAAAAAGAAAGACTAGAGAAGTTAACACCAAGGCCGCTTTCAAGAAGAAAAAGGGAAAGGAGTATAAAAAGTGCATCGCTTTTTGCTGCCAGGAACCTGCAGTTGACGCCAACACAGGGTATGTTGATTGGATCCAATGCGACAAGTGCGACCACTGGTTTCATTGGGACTGTGTTGGCATCATGAACGAACCAAAAGGAAATTTCTTTTGTGGGTGTGACCAGATACTCTATTCTGAAAGGTAGGAATATTTAACAATTATTTACAGAGAACGTGCTTGGCAGGTAAAGTTAACGAGAAACCAGCGTATGAAAGAAAAAAAGGAAAATATTGCTAGATGATGCTAAATAATTTTGTATTCACATTATTATTTTCATTCCAGACTAGTTTTCTGCAAATCACTGCACTGATGTAAACACTTTTACTGAACATCTGCTGCCTACAATATAACCAATTGGCAATAATTGTCGCTGCAAAATATCAACAATATTATCCGCATTCAAAGCACCTTAAATGTTTTGTTTTATAGCACACCAACGATATTTAAAGTGAATTGTGGTGACGCTCGTCTACGTTCTTCTCTCAAGGTAGCAAATCTGCATAATATCTTAATGCTTATTTATATTTGTTTTTGGATAGAACAGTATAACATTTACTATTATTTTATAATTCTTTTTAGAACCGTCTTTTACGCATTGGCAGCAGCAAATTGGCAAGCAAAAGAGCCGATCTGTTAAAGGGAATTTACGCTGGTCGAAGAAAGTTTCGCGAACAGCTAACTGATTTAAATTGTTTTTCTCCATTTACAGCACTTCAGGTAATTTTGGGTCTCCAATAATATTTCCTGAATTAGTAGAAAGGTATTCAACATTCATGCCCTATACGACTATACCTATATTCTACTTTTCGTCCATTTCTGATAACATTTTTTTTCCTGTTGAATTAGCAAGAGAAACTTCTAGCAGAAATCCAAGCCATTTGTGCTGAACTGTGGCCAAAATTTAATATTAAGGACAGCCATGCAAACTTCAGCTACGTAACTGACATTCTGTTGCCTGAGGTGCGGTATATCTTCTATTTTTTTAAGACAGCACAATCTTCAGTGTGTCTCAAAAAAGTATACCCTTTGAAATTTTCGTATTGTAATAGTTTAAATGGCTGGGCATTATGCTGTACCCACGGAAGTGTATATGGTGTATTGAAAACGACACCTTATAATAAGTAAGTCTATTCTTGTTAAGTTCAATATTTCCTGCTCCTGAGACTTTGTTCAGCTGTTCAGTATGGTAATTATAAGGCATTCATACTGTAAAAAAAAAACAGAGTAAAACAGCCTTGACTTCAAAAGGTATACTTTGTACACACCCATGGGTTCAACGTATATAAATATATATATATATATATATAAATATACATGACAATGACCAAAACTTGC